TTGCCACCAAATGCATCTCAAGTAATATGCCTTCCTCAAAACCAGGTGATAATGGGAGAGCTTTGTTGGTCTGGCAGCAAAACCTGGGTCCCAACGATCATATGATGCCTAAAAACCAATACTTCCCTTATAACAGGTCAGACTTCCTGCAACCCTTTACGTGCACAAAGAAAAAAGCTGTTAGCTATCAACACCATGATTGCCATCAATTATCAAGGAATCCAGCACAGGACAGATGACACCAAACCCTCAGAGAAAGACAGGCTGGTGGAGCCAGCTCTTCTCTTCCCCCAAACAAAGCACACCTAGTGAAAGAGGAAAAGGCTCTACTGGGATCTCATCTACTCAGGTGCAAGGGTGGGCCAGGCAGCACTGTGGGTACCTGAAGTTCATCTTTGGTGGCCCTGGCTTCATTCTAGGCAATTTCCTCTGGGCTTGCTCCCCTTCCCTAGAGGTGGAAGAGGTAAAACTCAGGTGAGTGTGGCAACCAGCAGGAAAGGAGCTTGAGGTCACACAGGTAGATGGCAGGGCTGAGGCGTGTAGGTCCCTGAGCAAAGATACCAGGACTGAGTGAGGAAGGAGGGGGAAGCTTGGGTCCACCCTTCTCTGGATGTAGCCTGCAGGGACTGAAATGCATCTCTAACTGTTGCATTTGCTAAAGGGGGAGGACGGTGAAGCCCTGTGCCAACCAGGGCCTGCCAGCTTTGCATGTGCACCTCACTTGTAACACCTGTGGAGAAGCTGCCGGTTTAACCAAGCATTCTTTCATGTTATTCTCACAATGCCCTGTCCTGCTCAAACACCCTTGCTGGCTCCCACTGTCTACAGAATCAAGCCCAATCTCTTTCATCCAGTCATCCACAATACCCCACCACACCAGCCTTGTTTCCCACTTGGCTCTGATGTGTACCCTAAAGGCTGGCCCAGGCACTCAGGCAGGTGGGCAGCACATGAAAAACTGCTACCTGCCCCAAGGATTTCTCTGATTCCCTCTTCCTCAGATTGGAGCATCCCATCCCTTGCTGTGCTCAACCCCTGGGGGGCTCCACAGGCGTCCCCCAGAGTCCACCAGCAGATGGAACACATCTGTTTGGGCTGAGGTGCTGCTGGGAGCCTGGGTGAGCCATAGGTCATGATCTCAGGGTCATGGGATCGAGCCCCACGTCGGGCTCCATGCTCAGTGGGGAGTCGGCTTGAGATTCTCTCTCCCTCTCTCTTTCCTTGCCTGCGCTTGCATGCGCATACTCTCTCTCTCCAATAAATAAATAAATAAATAAATAAAACCTTTGAAATAATAATAATAATAATAATAATAATAACTGGTCCTAGCACTTCATGCGGTGTGACTTTGGGAAAATTATTTCCCTTCTCTAAGCGTCCACTCTTCACTTACCAAGTGGGATAATGATATGTACCTCACAGGGATGATACAGCCCATGTGAAATGCTTTTCTAACACAATGCCTAGCACACAATCAGTGCTCGTTAAACATTTTGTTTAAATTCCACTCAAGAAATGTATTTATGAGTCAATAATAACTAGTCCACATTCAAAATTTCCCAATTTTCCCCAGAATGTCCTTTATAGCTTTGTGTGTGTGTGTGTGTGTGTGTGTGTGTGTGTGTGTGTGTGTCCAACCTCAAGTCTCACATACTCTCCTCCCAGTGCCAGGCCTCTCTATTGTCCTTTAGTCTAAAACAGCAACCCTCTTACCTATTCTTCTTTCATGACATTGACACAAAGTGAAACCAGATAGTCTCAGGAGGCCAAAGAAGACAAGCTTCCTCTTCCATCCAAGTACTAACCAGGCCCGACCCTGCTTAGCTTCCGAGATGAGACGAGATTGGGCGAGTTCAGGATAGTATGGCCATAGACTGACCGCCAGGTTCCTACCATGGCCGCCACTGAAATCTGGCTAGAGTGACATGGCCATGTTTATTCGTAACGTCCTGCTACGCCATGCCATGCCTACTATGCGCTAGGCATTTTGCTAGACACACCGTATCCATTGCCTCTACATTTCTCAGCAGCCCTGTCAAATCAAGATATTATCCCTATTTGACAGATGAGAAAACTGAAACTCAGAACAGTTGAGTAACTTGCCCAAACCCACAGCAGTCACCAGCAGAGCTGGAATTTGAATTCCTGCCCCAAACTCATGCACCTTCCTACACACTGCAGTCCCTTCAGGGAACCCCCACCTACTGGGAGAGATTGACATGAAAACAAGCCATTACAACAATACCGTGACAAAAGTGCCATCGCATAAGCAAGTGGGGAATGCCACAAGAACCAAGAGAAAGGAAATGTGGACGCTCACAGACACCAGCCCGGCTACAGGGACAGGGGTCCCAGGCAGGGCCTTGGGGGGAAGTGGCATTCTGCCCTATAGCCACAGAGTGGACGGGCCTTCTCCAGAAGGGCACAGAAACATGACAGATGAGACTGGAGAGGAGGTGAGTACCAGGCTGAGAAGGGTCCTGAAAGTTTCTTTCATTCATTCATTCATTCATTCATTCATTCATTCAACAAGTACTTAGGAAGATTCTACTACATGCCAGGCTTATCCTAGCTGCTAAGGGTACTGTTGAGAACAAAAGGGGCAAAGACCCTTGGCCACACAGAACTTACAATCTAATGCGGAAGGAGAGAGTAAACAATCAAGTGATACAGATGGCCTTAAGTCTTATGGAGAATAAAGCAGAGAGGGGACAGGGAATTCCTGGGGTCAGAGAGTTGTGATTTCTAATAGATGGAAAGGCTTCAGTGAGAGATTTCAGTAAAGACCTGCAGGAGGGAGTGAGGGGGGCTGCTGGTGGTAAGAGTGCAGAAGAGGAACGGTCCAGCTGGAGACAGTCACCAAGGCAAAGCAGACAGCTAAGAGCTGCACTTTGCTCTGGGGTCCCCTGAGGGGCCCATGCGATACCAGAGGAGTGACACTCTATACCTATAGGAACGATGAAACAGTTTGGGCATGTTCGTGCCAGGCATCATGCTGCCAGCTTTGGGACCATCTGCTGTGTCAATGATGGAGGCCCTTAGCTCTTTTTATGCCCAGTAAGGACCCGAGTGAGGAGAATGTGGAACATGGCAGGCAGGGCCTTGAAGCCCCTATCAGCGCATGTGAAGAAATCCGCCTACTTTGACTATGCCTCGGGTCAGCCCTGCAGGAGTGATCCCCAGCCTGGCATTCCGGGCACAGGACCCTCACCACATCCCCACACCCCACCCCTGACTGCCAGCATGGGGACACCGGGGAAAGTAATGATCCAAGCCGATTTGGAATCTCAGCTGCTTCGGGAACTGCTGTGCAGGTAAATTTCACCTGGCAAGTTCCTTTATGTGTCTGTGCCTCCATTTTCTCATCTGTGAAATAGGGGTAATAATGACACCTATCTCATAAGAAAGATTACATGAATTAACAAGTGAAAAGTATTCACGACACCATTTTCACATAGTAGGAGCTCCATAACTAAGTGTCTAGCCATTATTAGTGTCGTTCTAACCACTGTCGTTATTATTAGCATCGTTATTGACAGGAGCCCCAAACTACACTCTTAGTAGAACAAAGAGCTTCCAGCACCATGGGGGAGGGAGGAGAGCTGGAAAAATGTAAGCAATGGGCAAGATACTCCCCCTTCCCACCATGTGTCTTCCACCCCCCAGTGTCTGTGCCCCTCTCCATGGCCATCTCCTTCTTTTCCAATCTAGTGCCCTCATTTCTCTGGATTAATCTTGGTTTTGATAGTCTTCCCCAGTAACTCATCTGTACGTACATTAGCAGCTCATTAACTGCCACAAACAAATACATTTTGCCTCATGTCAGGCCACTTCTAATCCATTGCTGTAACAAACGCAACTCCATTCTAATAACCATCAGTGCCTCTAGGACATCTGCCATCCACGCCCTGGCTGACATGACCTGGCCCCCCAGAAATGAGGTGCTGCCTTGTTGAGTTGCAGTAACTTGGCTTATAAGAGCAATAAGAACCTTTCTACACCTTTAGACCACACCCAGCCTCAGTCTGAAGATAAAAATGAGGCCCAGAGAGGGGAAGTGAATTTCCCAAGATCACACAGCAGACTGAGGGCCAAGTTGAAATGGGAACTTGGGTTTCTAAGTGAACGTGTATGAAGCGCTTACTACACACCAGGCACTTCATCTTCACAGTGACCCTCCGGGGCAGGTACCATCAATACCTCTGTCTTACAGAGAAAGACACCAAGGCTCAGAGAAGTTACAGAACCTGCCCAAGATCTCCTGCTATATGTAGGGAGATGCAGGAGGAGGAGGCTGAGAAGACTCACCTGATCCACCAGCTGGTTTTCTAGGGGGTCTCTCCATCAAGGAAGAGAGGAAAGGAGGGTCTTGAGAGAAGGAGAGGAGAAGGATTTAACACAGCACTTCACAAGGTGAGGTCGAGAAATACTGACTCTTAAGGCCAAAGAGGTGCCGGATCGGGACACAACGCTGTGTGTACTTCTCTGAGATTCGTGCTCATGGTTCTCCAGCTGTCTGCCTGGAAGGGCTCAGTCTGGGTCAGCCTGGCAGAGGCAGTCTCCAGACTGTGAAGGACTGACTTTCGTACCCAGCAATTGTCACCCCAGATTCATTAAGAGAGACACTTAATATTTGGCCCCTTTTTGTGAAACCGCAGTGCCTGCGTTTGGCCTGGATCTGTGTTGCTGATGGGAACCACGCCATCCACCAATCCATAACCAGTGGAGAGAAGAGTATATCCCTGCAATTGGTATGGAAACCGGCACCTGCATATGTATATTGATTCTTTACCCTTGCTTTGCAGAATGAATTAAAAATCAAAACCTACTTCAGAGGGGTTCCTTAAGTAGGAGGGATTTGCTATAGGAAGTCCAGGGGCCATAGAAGGACCTCTAGAGTCATCCTGTTAAGGTTGACATAACAGGGGCCATCTTCCAGCCCACCTGTACCCAAACCACTCCTGGGATGGGGGAGGGGGGGTCCCTGCGAGGCCACCAACCTCCTCCAGCATCTGCGCTCCTCCGCCAATCTTCAGGGCTGTAGGACAGACCCAAATCATCCCAGGCCACTGCGTGCATACTCCACTTCGTCCAAACACTTCCTTTACTCACACAGCAGACAGGTCTAATGGGCCAGAAGGGATTTGTGAGGCTCTCCAGATCCATCATAATCTGAGTGTTTAAAGGTCCCCAAATGCCCACTTAGACAATCCACATTTTCTAACAGCTAGTAAATACTCTGGGACAGGGTCAGCATTTTTAAAGGTCCTTAAATAGCTCATTTGCATAATCCATATTTTCAGAGCCCCTAAGCATTTGTCCTACCTACATAATCTCAATCTTTATTATGCGTGAGGAAGAAAAGAGCTCCCAAGGAGTGTAGCAGCCCTTCACATCCCTTCTGGGAGAATTGATTCTTGTTTTTTAAAATGACCACATTTTCAAAAGCAGGCACGGAGCTAACCACAAAAGGAAAATATTTAAAGGGAAGCTGTTAACCTGTGTAGGCCTGCAAATGTTCTTTCCTTGAAGGCAGAAAAATCCCCTGCGGGCTCCCAAGGATACTAATTACACAACTGGCCCCTGCAAACACTTCAATTAAGGTCAGAGGCCTCTCCCTCCCTCCTCCACCCCTGTTGGTTCCCTCCTGGAAGCCAGGAAGGAAGAACACAGGTTCACGTGAACATCTTTGTCAGCCTCACTTTTCCAGTTGGGTCTCAGCTCAAAGCCTTTCCTGGGGTAAGGAAAACGCAATTCGCTAAGAGAAATTCGGGTGTCAGGATTGTGAGCCATTCAGCGCACATCCTGGGTAAAGCCTCTTTGGGAAAGTTGATTTCCTGCTCTTATCAGAATAGAGGCCCCGGGACAGTGAGGAAAAGCCAAGACAAATCCAAGGCAAAAAAGACCCACATTACTGCCCCTCTGCTCTCTGGGATAGAAAAATGATCTGTCCCCTGAGGAAGGACATCCAAATTCTGAAACACCTGTACCACAGGCAAAACATGGACGACTCTCTCCAACATCATGCTGAGCCAAGGAAGCCGGGCCAGAAAGAGTCCACATGATTCTGTTCCTACAGACTTCTAGAATAGACAAAGCTACTCTATGCTGAGAGAAGTCAGGATGGTGGTTGCCCTGGGGTTAGGGCCCGAAAGATATGTGGGCATTTCTAAAGTGCTGATAATAGCTCGATCTAGGTGCTGCGTACCTGGTGTGTTTACTCCAGGAAAATGCACAGAGCTATACTTCTTTTTTTTTTTTTTTCTTTTTTGAGGCAATCCAAATCCCCTTAGTTCCAGTTTCAGCTTCCTCAGTTTCTTCCAGCATTGCTCTTAAATCCCCACACCCTGCCCCTTTATTTGGGCTCTTCTGGGAATACCGGGATGCCCAGCTATCTGTGAAAAGGGGTTCCTCATTCTGTGTCCAGATTGTTGATTTAAGAAAGGTCGGCGGGGGAGGGGAGAGTATTCATAGTAACAAGGATGTCTCTAAATGGTCTGGGGGTTTCTTTGCTGTCCTTTGTCCCTTAACTCCCACATCTGCTAGAAACCCCACCTTAGAGAGAGGTACCGAATTGGGGATGGGGACTGACAAAAAATCTCTGCCAGGTCTAGCAAAGACGGATGTCTCCATGTTGAATATCTTTGAAGCGGGGAATGGACGTCAGGCCCGGAGACTGGGCCTCTCCATCCTCTGGCAAGCTGCAGGGCTGGTCCAACTTGAGACCCACCTCCAGGTCCTGCAGAGACGGGCTGGAGCTCAGAACCAAAGGAAGGAGGAGTTAGAGAAAGCCAGGGAGGGGGTTGGGGGAGAGAGATGACAAGGTGGAGAGGAGGAAAGGAAAAAAGAAAGGAAGGGGGCGCCTGGGTGGCTCAGTTGGTTAAGCGACTGCCTTCGGCTC